CTTCCTGCCCTCCTTCCTGCTCTCCTTCCTGCCCTTCTTCCTGCCCTCCTTCCTGCTCTCCTTCCTGCTCTCCTTCCTGCCCTCCTTCCTGCTCTCCTTCCTGCCCTCCGTGGCTGCAGGCACTGCTACGACTGTGGAGCAAAGTGGCACCAGGCGAGACTAGTATGGACCTCAGCGGCATCTCCCTCCTCACCGACGCTGCTCTCACACAAGTCGCCACCTTTTCCGCTCTAACCTCGCTCAACCTGCGAGACTCCGTCGGCTTCACTGAAGCGGGGGTCTCCTTGCTCACGGGCCTCACACATCTGAATCTACGGGGTACAGCCACAACAGACACAGCGCTTGAAGGCGTTGCCAGGCTGGAGAAGCTTCAAGACCTTATTCTTGACCGGACCAAGATAACCGACGCAGGAATCATGAAGCTGCAGGGGTTATCTGCGCTCACGACTCTGTTCCTAGGCGGTTTGAAGGTCACGTCTGCCAGCATGGCGCATGTGGGCAAGTTGACATCGCTGGAACGTCTCACACTGCATGGCACTGACGTGAGGGAGGACGGGCTGGAGCGCTTGACTGCTCTCACTGCGCTGAAGCTTCTCACTGTGCCTCCAGGAGTGACTGATTCCGGCATGATGCTGCTGCGGAACATGAAACACTTGGAGACGCTGGGGCTCTGGAATGCTGAAATCACTCCCGGTGGTGTGAAATGGCTCATCGGGCTGAAGTGCCTCCAAAAAATTGCAACACATGCTAAAGATGTTCAAGAATGGATCAGGGACATACTACCTGAAATGATCGTCACACCAGGACCTCTCCCTGGTTGATGTTATTAGGGTAAGTACTCCAGCTTGCCTCCCCGCCCTGATGTTTTAGAATGACGAGCTGTATTACACTGATTCAATCAGTTTATGTGCTTTGCAAACCCCGAGTGTTTAAAAATTATAAGATGGATTATGTAATTTATAAAATTCACGGATATAAAGTTTCCTCTCATTCACCCATTTGTTTAAGTGCTTTTTCCCATATTCTCCCTCTTCTTGCCCCACTGCAGTGAAGCCATCGCTCTGTTGGAGGTTCAGTGAGGTTAGAGAGTGGAAGCTGGCGAGTTCTGTGAGAGCAGCATCAGTGAGGCATGGAACGCCATGGAGCTCCATGCGAGTCCCGCTGGGAACCGCTTCTCTCCACACATCATCAGAACCTGCAGCCACGAACAGAGAGAGGAACTTTATTGATTACGTTATAAAGAAAGCTATGCTGCAAAAATTGCTGTGCTGGGGAGCATACTATGTAGCTGCACCAGTTTTGATATCAAGCAGGTGATACGCGGCACATGGTGCTCCCTCCGCAGGGAGGTGCGATGCAAGCAGGGAGCTGGGCGAGGGGGGAGGGGTGCGGCATACATGGGAGGGGGGTGGTTGCAGGGATGGATGGGAATTGGGAAGGAGCTGGGCGAGGGGAGAGGGGTGCGGTGCTGCTTGCTGTGGGTGCCATATGCACGCCCTTGCGCTGCACCACGCAATAGTCTCAGCCTGGCCCGCATCCCTATGTGTGGTGATGGGGAAGTAGCTGGAGAACAGGAGAGCGTAGATGGGAGGACATGAGAGAATGTTCGGGAGTAGCAGTGGCAGCGATGCTGGTGGCAGCAGATGGTGACGCTTGGTGCATGTGGGAGAACATGTGGTGAATGTGGTGGTGCTTTGTGCCGCTGTAAAACAGTTGTTGCCCCGCCCATTAGAATGTCCCATATTGCCACCTGAAGGATGAAGGGGAGAGAGAGGATGAAGGTGAAGGATGAAGGGGAGAGAGAGGATGAAGGTGAAGGATGAAGGGGAGAGAGAAGGCGAGTAAGAAGAGAAGATGGTGTGTGGCTTGTGGGAAGAGCAATGAGTGGTGTGGCAGGTGGTGTAGGAATGATGAGAAGTTATGGTAGATGGTGGGAATAAACAGCTGCACGTTACGAGGAGAGCGACGAGGGGCGGTCTCAATGTGGGAGGCGTTACAAGTGGAGAGTGGAGGCAAGACACAGAGAGACGAGAGCATGCGATGTGCAGCAGGAGCGGGAGCAGGAGCAGAAGAGAGAGAGATAGCAGCAGCAGAACGGAGAGCAGAAGCATGGATGGACCTGGAAGAAGCCGACGTCTCACCTGCGCAGCGCACTGTCGAAAAAGGAACGCTGAGGGGTGGAAAGAATCATGGCTGTTGCAAGGATGGAAGACAGGGAAAGAGGGCGACAGGGACAAGCCGTCAGAAATGGGAGAGAACGAGAGGCCACACGGAGGGAGGGCTGGGCAGTTGGAAGCGATGTGTGCGTGTCAATGGGTGGGTGGCCCGGTTGGTGATTGTGCAAGTGAGCATGGGCGTGCATGCGCACTCTGTGAGTTGTCTCAGCACTGTGCGGGCCGTGGCGTAAAACACCTGTATACGCTCACATGCAGGGGGACAGTTGGGAAGGAGTGGAGGGGAGAGTTGGGAGGGGGGGGGGGAGGGGGGGGGGGGGATGGTGGGTGAAGGAGCAGGACAGCGGGGTGAAAACAGTGCTGGGGGGTATGAAGGGAGAGCCTCAATACCCCCCATTCACAATTAGCATATGGTCGAGAAGAGTGGGGAAACAGCAAAGTGGGGGAGGTATCGTGCATGCATAAGGCACATGAGGCAGGGAGGGGACGGAACAGTAAAGGCCAGGGACCGGGGAACAGCAACAGGTGCGGAAAACCACCTGGCCTGTGTCTCCCCTCACCAGCATAGCTTGCCATCCGCCAGCAGCTTGATATTGTAGCAGGTGGGAAGGGCAAGGGCAAAACCGGACGGGAGAGGCGCGCCGAAGTAGAGGAGAGGGGAGGGGAGGGGAACGGAGAGGAGGGGACCGGAGGGAAGGGATGGGAGGGGAGAAGACGGGAGGAAGGGAGGAGGGGAGGAGGGCGGGCGGGAGAAAAGGATCAGGAGTGGCAGTGCGATGGAGGGGTGTGATTACAAACGGAGGAGCTGTGCGAGTAGGTGAGAAGCAAGAATGAGCTTTGGATATCTGAGCGGTGGGGAGGGGTGAAAGGCGGCGGACAGGCCAGACACAGATGAGATTCTGGAGGGGAAAGGGAGGGGAAAGGGAGGGGAAAGGGAGGGGAAAGGGAGGGGAAAGGGAGGGGAAAGGGAGGGGAAAGGGAGGGGAAAGGGAGGGGAAAGGGAGGGGAAAGGGAGGGGAAAGGGAGGGGAAAGGGAGGGGAAAGGGAGGGGAAAGGGAGGGGAAAGGGAGGGGAAAGGGAGGGGAAAGGGAGGGGAAAAGGAGGGGAAAAGGAGGGGAAAGGGAGGGGAAAAGGAGGGGAAAAGGAGGGGAAAGGGAGGGGAAAAGGAGGGGAAAGGGAGGGGAAAGGGAGGGAAAAAGGAGGGGAAAAGGAGGGGAAAAGGAGGGGAAAAGGAGGGGAAAAGGAGGGGAAAAGGAGGGGAATAGGAGGGGAAAAGGAGGGGCAAAGGAGGGGAAAAGGAGGGCCTCACAAGTCCTTTAAATCGAGAGAAGGTTTTGAGTGGCTCCCTGGTGACGCCACTGTACACCGTCACCTGCCATGGGGTTCGTGGCGCCACACGCACACGGGGGGTGCGACTCGTTGCACGTGTTACCAACGCGCACACACAGGTCGAGACCGAGAAAAAAACAGGTCACACGTGGGTGGAGCGAAGTGGAAGGGCGGGGAACGGAGAGCGGGGAGGGGGTGGGAGGGGATGAGAAGCGCACGCGGGTGGAGTTGATGGCGGCGAAGTGGAAGGGCGCGGAGGGGCAGAAGTCGATGGTCGTCACGTTGCCGATCAGCGGCTCCGCCGCTTTCCGCCGGAAGCTGCGCAAATCCCCGCTTCCGCCGTCTCCCCGGGCGCCGCCGGCGCATGGCGCTTGGGCGTGACTAGAAAATCGTCCACCACCTGCTGGTCGCCCATTGGTCGACGCCTCTATAACGGAGGTCTCGTGAGATTTCGAGCGAATCGAGTCACCGGACAAGGGCTGAGCAGCGGCATGGCGCGCGCAGTGAGACGCGCCGGGAATTGAGGAACACGGCCGAGGTAGGCAAAGGTGGAAAGGGAAGGATGAGGTAGGCAAGAGAAGGTAGGTGAGCAAGCTGGGCGATGTGTAAGCAGGATGGGCGCACGGCGGAAACCGACTCTTGATGTAGCCTTGGCCAGGGCTTAGCTGAGACGAGTAAGGTCAATTGAATAGTGTAAAGAAAATTTCCGGCTGCCTTAGGGCTGTAACTATTTTACCGGTTGACGGACCGTCCAAGGGCACTAAGTTCGCAAGTTTTCTCCTCGTGAAGGGCTTTGCGAGCGAGTCGCCGGAAAAGGACTGAGCCGCGGCGTGGCGCGCGCAATGAAGTCGCGCGTGAAAGTGACGAGCGTGACCGAGGTGAGGCAGGAGAAGGAATGCGTGCAGACGTTGAGGCAAACGTGAAGTTCAACTGACCACCCAGGGGCAAGTACATGCATAGATAATATATATAATATACTCCGTTGCTCTCAATTGTTCCCGTTTATACTCTTCCAAACGGAGAGTGCACTAATGCGTTAGCCGCACAGCCACCGGGGCAACCTTCGAATGTCACCTGCCTTTGTCCAATCTGCCCCCGAGTTCCATTCCTACTACATTTAGCAGTGCGCTGTGCCTACTAAACCTGCATGCTTTTCGGCACCCAGCCTCACAGCAGTGCTTTGCGCGAGCTTCCCGGATTCACGGCTCCATTTGGACCTCCGCGAGCGTCACGGCCTTGAGAACGAGCTTCGCACGTCCGATCCGATCTGCCCCAGTCGTTGAACACTGAATCGGACTGTTGACTTTCAAGATCCACTCCAGCTGGGCAGGTTTGGTTTGGTTCCGCCACAGAGGCTTGCTCAGCTTCGCGTTTTTCGGGAACTAGTAGCTTGTTCGTACTCCCGCCGCAGTTCAGACTTGCCGCAGAAACACATGCATTGCAACGTACAGCCATACAGCATTCGACCGTGACGAGCGTCACGGCCATGAGAGCGAAATGGCGACGCCAACAGCAGCGCGGGACATGGAGGAGCGGCTGGCGGAGATGGCGGGCGGCGTGGGGGATCGTATGGCGGCGTTGGAGGCGCAGCTGAGGGAGCAGGGCGACGCCATGGCTGCCATGCAGCGCGACATGGGCGCAATGCGCCAAGCCATGGCCCACCTCATGGGTATGGCGGCGACGGGCGCTCTGGGGGAGCAGGGTGAGGGGGCAGGAGCGGGAAAAGGGAGTGCATTGGGAGAGGCAGCGGAGGGCATTGGCGCACAGCTGCTGGCATGCGCGGAGGAAAACCTTTTCCCTGCGTTTGAAGCGGAGGGAGCGGATGGAGCGGAGGAAGCGGAGGAAGCGGAGGAAGCGCCGGAGCAAGTGGCGCAGGTGGAAGCGGCGAGGTGGGAGGTGCAGGAGGCGTCGGGTGAGATGCCCGGCGGGGAGATGGGGGCGCTGAAGGCGGAAGTTGCGCGGCTGAGGGGAGCGGCGAAGCGGCATGAGGAGTACACAGAGGGGCGCATCAACGACCTGGAAGCGGAAGTCGCAGCGCTGAAGGACTGGCGCAGCTCGTGGGAGCAAATGGGGGCGGAGAGACGGGATGCGAAGAGGCGGAAGAGGGGTGAAGGTGGCGCGCTTCTAGAAAAGCGGGATGACGTCGAAAGGGAGGGCGAGGCGCAGAGGGATGCAGCGTGCGCTGGGGGAGGAAAGACATGGGAGGTGAGTGAGTGAGCGGATGGTCTGGACGGTCGGGTTTTTCTCGTTTTCTCGTTTCTGTTCCGTGTTGCAAAGAACCTCACGTATGCACCCTTAGCTCTCCGTCCTGCCCTCCTTCCTGCTCCTGCCATCTCCCTGCACATTTGACCTTACTGCCCTCCTTCCTTCTCTCCTTCCTTCTCTCCTTCCTTCTCTCCTTCCTTCTCTCCTTCCTTCTCTCCTTCCTTCTCTCCTTCCTGCCCTCCTTCCTTCTCTCCTTCCTTCTCTCCTTCCTGCCCTCCTTCCTTCTCTCCTTCCTTCTCTCCTTCCTGCCCTCCTTCCTTCTCTCTTTCCTTCTCTCCTTCCTGCCCTCCTTCCTGCCCTCCTTCCTGCTCTCCTTCCTGCCCTTCTTCCTGCCCTCCTTCCTGCTCTCCTTCCTGCTCTCCTTCCTGCCCTCCTTCCTGCTCTCCTTCCTGCCCTCCGTGGCTGCAGGCACTGCTACGACTGTGGAGCAAAGTGGCACCAGGCGAGACTAGTATGGACCTCAGCGGCATCTCCCTCCTCACCGACGCTGCTCTCACACAAGTCGCCACCTTTTCCGCTCTAACCTCGCTCAACCTGCGAGACTCCGTCGGCTTCACTGAAGCGGGGGTGCGAGGGCTCTCCTCGCTCACGGGCCTCACACATCTGAATCTACGGGGTACAGCCACAACAGACACAGCGCTTGAAGGCGTTGCCAGGCTGGAGAAGCTTCAAGACCTTATTCTTGACCGGACCAAGATAACCGACGCAGGAATCATGAAGCTGCAGGGGTTATCTGCGCTCACGACTCTGTTCCTAGGCGGTTTGAAGGTCACGTCTGCCAGCATGGCGCATGTGGGCAAGTTGACATCGCTGGAACGTCTCACACTGCATGGCACTGACGTGAGGGAGGACGGGCTGGAGCGCTTGACTGCTCTCACTGCGCTGAAGCTTCTCACTGTGCCTCCAGGAGTGACTGATTCCGGCATGATGCTGCTGCGGAACATGAAACACTTGGAGACGCTGGGGCTCTGGAATGCTGAAATCACTCCCGGTGGTGTGAAATGGCTCATCGGGCTGAAGTGCCTCCAAAAAATTGCAACACATGCTAAAGATGTTCAAGAATGGATCAGGGACATACTACCTGAAATGATCGTCACACCAGGACCTCTCCCTGGTTGATGTTATTAGGGTAAGTACTCCAGCTTGCCTCCCCGCCCTGATGTTTTAGAATGATGAGCTGTATTACACTGATTCAATCAGTTTATGTGCTTTGCAAACCCCGAGTGTTTAAAAATTATAAGATGGATTATGTAATTTATAAAATTCACGGATATAAAGTTTCCTCTCATTCGCCCATTTGTTTAAGTGCTTTTTCCCATATTCTCCCTCTTCTTGCCCCACTGCAGTGAAGCCATCGCTCTGTTGGAGGTTCAGTGAGGTTAGAGAGTGGAAGCTGGCGAGTTCTGTGAGAGCAGCATCAGTGAGGCATGGAACGCCATGGAGCTCCACGCGAGTCCCGCTGGGAACCGCTTCTCTCCACAACATCATCAGAACCTGCAGCCACGAACAGAGAGAGGAACTTTATTGATTACGTTATAAAGAAAGCTATGCTGCAAAAATTGCTGTGCTGGGGAGCATACTATGTAGCTGCACCAGTTTTGATATCAAGCAGGTGATACGCGGCACATGGACACTGACTTCAAGACACTATGATCTTACCTGTACTTGGGGGGCGTCAGTGCGTTGGAGATGCGGCGGGACATGCGGGTGGACCTATGCATGCATGCGGCGGAAGACCTTATATCGTCGCTGGCGAGGCTGGGAGTGGTGGTCCCGAGGCAACCCGCCCCCAGGGTCGCGAAGCATGGGGCGGTAGTCGATTCAGGTGCGGAGGATGGCAACACGCAGCTAACACGGATGCAGGTGGAGCACTACAGTATGAAGCGGGACTTGACGATCTGGAAGGCAGCTGTCACAGCTGTTGGAGCGGCCATGGGGTACAGTGTCGATCAGCTCATTGCTGGAGCTGCCCACGTCCTGCAGCAGCAGGCTTCTGATGGGGAAGCGGCGACACCTGGGTGCAGTGGGTCCACTGCACCGTCCACGCCCAACCCACGTGCAGGCGCGCGGGCAGGAGCCCCCGACAGCCCCGGTTCCAAAGGAGACCCTTCTGTGAGTGTTGGCCAGGGTGGTGCTGGCACCACAAATGTCGATCTAGGGGTGGTACATCCCTGCCCGTCCCCGCTGCCCGTGCCGGCGAAGCCGTTGTGGTCGCAGAAGGCAGCCCCGGTGTGTGTGCCCTTCACACATGAGGCAGCGCATACGGTCGTTCAACCAGGTGGGACGAAGCCCGTGGTATTGGCTATGCCGGCAAAGAGGAAACGAGACGACACTCCTTCGCCCGGGAGTGATGCTGAGGGCGCCATCCCCGCTAGCAAAAGCAAGGGTAATGGACAGGGTCGGAGCTCCAAATGGAAGGGTGTGCGGAAAGAGAAACGGGGGAGGTGGAGCGCTAAGATACTGTTCTGGGAGAAGGATAAGCCCAAGCGCACCCAGATGAGGCTGGGTGCGTACAACAAGGAATTGGAGGCAGCCACTGCGTATGCAGCAGCTGTGCACGTGGTCAAGGAGGGGCGACGTGTGTCAGGGACAGTGGAGCTGTCGGATGAGGAGAGGGGGCTGCTGAAGGGGTGCACATTGTCCGCAGTCAAGAGGCTGGTAAGGGGCAGACAGTGGTTTCGATGGACAGAGTGGGAGACGGCACTGGCGGACTGTCCGGAGGAGGACTCAGGCGGGGAGGGGGAAACGCACTCCGATTCACAGGATGATCAGGCGGCGGATGCGCATGGAGGCGCCGCCAAGGAGGTGGATACGAAGATTGAGATGGGCGGGGTGAAGAAGGGTGTTCCTGAGGCGCAGGTTGGGAGGGGAACGCCGAATGAGCTCAATGAGGAGGAGGCGGATACACTGGACGGAGTGGCAGAACAGGGTATACATACAGGCGTGTCGCTGGGGGATGCCTTTGAGGAGGCAATGTTTGATGTTGACCCTGAAGGGGTGACAGAGGGCTGATTCTGTGGTGCATTCGTGTCGTCGTTAGCAGTGAAATAAGTTGTAATTGTGTAGTGCAATGAAATAAGTCACTGTATACGTTAGTTGGGTTCGGCTGTTGCATATAACGAACACCACGAGCATACGCGGGATGCTACACAACCGTGTGATAGGCTGTTGGGTTTGTCTACCAAGGGTGGAGGGATATCGCGAGATCCAATGACATGCTCACACATGGCCCGGGGGTCACTTGCAATCCGGAGCAACAAACGGGACTGGCTAGCGTGATTGCGGGACCTGACATAGGGCGTTAGAAGTGGCTCTTGTAGGAATGCGCATACTTCTGTCAAATTGTGTTCGGATCCCGTAGGAGGTCCGGTTTGCATCTCAGGAATGGAAACTTCCTTGGGAACGTCGGAAGAACTGCCAGCAGGCCGCTCACAGCGGCCTAAGCGCACACCAGCGTATCTCCGCAACGAGTATCACCTGCCTGGTAAACGTTCTCGTGAGCCGAAATGTGTGCGCGGGAATGCGGGGCATTTCAAGCGTCCGAGGATTACGAAGCAGAAGTGTGTCCCAGTCGCAGGTAAAATTTTTGTATGGGTTTTGCAAGGACTGGGGGGGACTGTGTGGGTACTGTTGCTCACTACACGAGTATGTCATTGTTATGTCATTGTTATGCGATATGCTGACGTCGTAACCATGGCGGCTGTATGCGTTGTTACACCCGCGATCAGGGGTGGCTAGTGCGGCACAGGGAGCATCGCAAGTGACGCCGCAGGCGGCGGTTTTGTCAAGCGTCGGCGCAGGAGATGAGGATGTCGGCAGCGACGGGGGAGGCGAGGATGTTCCTGTCCGCTCCAAAGCGGTCGCGTCGGTTATGGCGGACGAGAACCCGGCCGCGCACGACACGGCGGCGAAGGCGCCGAGGCCTTCGGTGCCGGACAACCCTTTCGTGGCGATGCCGAGCGTGTCAGGGCAGCCGGCAAGTGGTTCTCGGCGTGAGGAGACGTCAACTAACGACAACGTCGTCATTAGCCGCGCCGAGCTCGAGGCCCTGAAGGCGGCCAGAGACGACGGCGAACGGCGGATTGCGCGCCTGGAGGCGTTGCTGCTGTCCGCACAGGATCCCAGGACGCATAACAAGAGGCAGAGATGTCAGAGGGAGGAGCGGGCGCGCGGTGAAGAGAGGGCCTCTGAGCAAGCGCCGGCGGGTCGATTCAGGCTCCGAGGACGCTTCATCCGCGGAGGGGGATGATGTGGAGGCGGAAGCGGAGCACGCGCCGGTCCGCCGTGTGCGCAAGAGGCGCCATATGATAGAGGCGAGCTCTCCCATACTCCAGGAGGCATTTGACTTCAAGCCGGCGGGCAAGGCGTGGAAGGTGAGGTTTGCGAAGTGCGGTCCTGTCTATATACCTGCGTGTCTAGCGTATGTCGTTTGGGGGAGTCCCCGTTTGTATCTAATGGTGTTTGTAAGGGTCCATTGTCTCATGCGGTTGCTCTGGCAGAAGCACTGCGACTTTGTGCGGGAGTACCTGTTTATCGAGCGGGGAAATGATGCTATGACATTCTACCCCAGCAGCTACGACAAGACACTGGGGTTATGCTGGGTCACGCCACGGCTGACGCTGAAGTTTGCTGCTGTCGCGTTGGCGGCAGACAAAGGGCGACGCGATGACTTGAACAAGAGTCTGAGCCAGTGGAAGACGGAGGTTGCAGGCCGTGTACGAGACATTGCGCTGCCGCGCATTGGACTGTGGCGCGACGAGCGGGATGCGAAGAGTCCGTGGAGACGCAAGGAGGCCAGGGAGGCCGCGGAGGTGCGGATTCGCTATCGCGTTCTGGACGACGTCAACGGTACGATGAGGTCGGGACTCCGGGGAGCCATCCCTTCGGCGGGAGTTTTGCTGTTCTGATGTTGCGTTGGCGGATGGTGTGTGCAGAGGATCTAACACTGTCAACCTGGAGCGAGAGCAAGACCGGGATGATTTTTGCTAGTGGGGCATTCACCGCGTGCGCCGCCACCGCATTCCGGCCAAAGAAGGTCACAGGGACAGTGAATGTGAAGCTGTACCAGTTGGCGTGGCTCGAGCACGTGGTAAGTTGCATCACTTATAGTTGCAACTTCAGGGATTGTGAACATGCTCATGCGAGTGCCCGAGATGCTTGTTGGTCCACGCAGGTGACGGACACCATCCTGAACTGGGACAAGCGCAAGGGGCGTCTGTCAAATTCAGCAGGCGGCAACGCGCAGGTGGTGAACGGGCTGCAGGAGGTAGCCGCTGCGGCAGTGGCTCAAGCGATCCAGGATTTCAAGCCAACGTACGATGCAGACGAGGCGGCGTGGGTGTGGGGGGAACATGGGTTGATGCTGTCGTCGGATGGGCTTGAGCACCTGGTTCCCGGCCGGTATGCGCATAGGGCTCCAGTGGCTGATGATAGAGCATCAGTTTCCCTGTAAGCGGGCTGAGGCAGGGGCTGTCGTGAGAGGGCGTTGCAATCGCATCCGACTTGTGGCGGAGGAAGAGGATTAGCTGCCCAAGAAGTGGGAGGTTTAGGCACACAGGGTTTGAAAGTTATCGTTGCAGGCGGGCAATAACTAATGGTTTTACGTCAAGTGACGTGGCTCTGGGCTTGCTCAGTAGTGTTGGTGTGGCTATTAATGGGTTTGTAATTGTAGGATGGCACGTTGTGGTGTTTGGATATGGTGTGGTATGTGTTGTGTTAGTGCATAATTTTTGAACTGTTCCTAGTAATGGCTACCACAAAACGGGAAAACGAATGCAGTAACGCATACATTTCGCGCAAGCGGGATGCATTACAGTGCGCCATCCAATGGTGGGCGTAAAGAGCGCTCCGGTGAGATCGACGGCTGGTATTCACGCCGTGTGCCCCAGGTTATTGCCCGTGTGGACGTAGGATGAAGAGGGTGCACGGGTGTGCTACGATCCAGATTGTGTGTACGTAGGGGTGGTAACGCTGTGGCAAATTCCGGTAATGTTCGTAGTGGGCGCAGGTTGGGCAGGGCGCGGAAAGTGTGCGGAAGAGGGGGGGCCCCCGATGACGCGAAATTCACGGGCGACGGTGTTTGGAGCCAATCATAGGGACAGTGGAGGTGATAGGGTTACGGTGTGGCAATTGCGTTATTGGGCAGGCACACAGGGCTCGGGCATGCACCTCCGTTCCAGTGGCTCCCATCGCGCATGCGGTGGTGTTCAGTGGCGGTATGCGATAGGCCGTTGCTGGGTCTGGGGCGTCGCGCGATTGGTCCACGAGGGCTTCCGCGATGCAACTGCATTGGTGGGCGAAGTGGGGTTACTAGGGGGTGGGCCAGTCTGTATTCAACACTTGCGCGCGCACGAGTGGTGTACGTTTCGGCAGGCAACCGTACCGGGCATGCTGTGCCACCGTTTCATTGTGCCACGGTGGCGCCACATTGTAACCGGGTACGCGCTTTGCGAGGAGTGATGTTTCTGCAAACAGGCTGCAGGTGCGCGGCATGTTGTTTGCGTTTGCAATGCTTGCGGAAGGTGGCGCAAATGTGTCCGCATGTTTGCAGTATTGTGTCGAGGGAGTTGCGAAACAGTTGCAGGGTTGCAACTTTTTTGCAACTTTTTGTCAACTCTGCAGTCACTCGCATTTCTGCAACTGTTGTCCATCACTGCGAAGTTGCAAAACCAAAGTATCCGCCGAGTTACTTTTCTGCAACTTTTCAGCAGCCTACTGGCAAGTCCTTTTTCGCGATGGCGGCGGAGGTGGCGGAAGTGAAGGCGACGGCGGCGCACTCGGAGGCGCGCATCAACGACGCCGAGCTGGCGCTCGCCGCGCTCACGAACAGCAAGACGGGGGAGCGCCGCGACGAGCGCGATGAGGGCGGCGCGAGGAAGAAGCGGAAGCCAGAGGAGTCGCCGGGGAAGGAGGGGGAGATGGCTGGTGCTGCTGTGGGCACCGAGCATAAGCTTGCTGTTGGAGGTAGTGCGGCTGAAGGAAAGCTGGATGAGGCGGAAAGCGAGAGCGAGGAGGAGTGGGGGGCGAATGGCGAGGAAGATTTCGACGCGGAGGCTGAGCTGCAGGAGCTGTGTAACCGCGTGGTGGCACTGGAGAAGGATGCCAAGACATGGGAGGTGAGTGCTTGATCGGTTTATGTGGGTCCTTTCTTTCTAATACTGCTGGGGCACGGATGGCTAATGGAAGATGCTAATACCAATCTTTCTCACACGCCTCAACCTATTTATTTGACCTCGTTGCTCACCCGTGGCTGCAGGCACTGCTGACGCTGTGGAGCAAGGCCACTCCCAGCGAGACGCGCATGGACCTCAGCAGCTGTGTGAACCTCACCGACGCTGCTCTCTCTCGACTCACCTCCTTGCGCTCTCTCACGTGGCTCAGCCTTCGAGAGTCCATTAGCTTCACTGCAGAGGGGTTGACGCAGCTCTACTCCCTCACGAGCCTCAAGTTGCTCGATCTGGCGGAGACAAATGCTACGGACGCTTCGTTGGAAGGTATCAGTAGCTTGAAGGTTCTTAACGCACTTTATCTTGGTGATACCAAGATAACCGATGCAGGGATAGCGAAGCTGCGAGGGCTGCCTGCACTCGTGACACTGGCCTTAGATGGCTGCGAGTCGGTCACCTCTGCGAGCATGGTGCACGTGGGAAAATTGACGTCACTCGAGGCTCTCTGGCTGAGTACCACTGCAGTGGGGGAGGACGGGCTGAAGCTGTTGACTGCTCTGACCTCCCTCAAGGTCTTCAGCTTGCCTTCAGGGGTGACCGATGTCATTTTGAAGCTCGATTCGCTCGAAATCTCACGAGACCTCCGTTATAGAGGCGTCGACCAATGGGCGACCAGCAGGTGGTGGACGATTTTCTAGTCACGCCCAAGCGCCATGCGCCGGCGGCGCCCGGGGAGACGGCGGAAGCGGGGATTTGCGCAGCTTCCGGCGGAAAGCGGCGGAGCCGCTGATCGGCAACGTGACGACCATCGACTTCTGCCCCTCCGCGCCCTTCCACTTCGCCGCCACCCACTCCACCCGCGTGCGCCACTCTCCCATCCCATCCGTGTCTGCCCTGCCCGCCCCCTTTCACCCCTCCCCACCGCTCAGTTGTCCAAAGCTCATCCTTGCTAGGCGTTTGTCACGTTCTCAAACTGTTTCTTCCGTTTCTGATCACACCCCTTCATCGCACTGCCACATCTGATCCTTCTCTCCCGCCCGCTCTCCTCCCCTCCTCCCTCTTTCTCCCGCCTTTGCCCCTCCCTTTCCCTTCCATCCCCTCACTTCCTCTCCTTTCCCCTCGCATCCCCTCCGTCTACCGTCCGCTTTTGCCCTTGCCTTCCCCTCACCCCCCCACCCTCCCCTCCCCTCCCTCCCCTACCCTCCCTCCTTCGCCCCTATCACGCGGGGCTGTGCGGGCGGTTCAGGGCGAATGGCGGGCGGGGACAGGGGCATCGTGCAGGTCAGGGCAGGGCCGCATTGCCCTGGAGGGGGATACAGGCCGGGCACAGTGGCTGTCATGACGGAGGGGAAAGTGGGAAGCATAGCGGCAGGGAGGGGGCAAAAGGGGTGGTGAGGGGCTGTGGGGCAGGGGCAGCGACTTTATGGGCGAGGGGAAGTTAACCCCGAATGTATGTCTTCCAGTTTAAGGGTGTGGACGGGCGATGGCATGGTCGTGTCCGCATGAGCACCTACCCTGCATTCTCCTACCTGCACGTGCCGTGCCTGCTGCCAATGTACTCGTGATTCACCTTGGTTTTCCGCACCTAGTGCTGTTCCGTCCCCTCCCCGCCTCATGTGCTGCACGCGTGATGCCTCCCCCTCTTCGCTGTTTCCCCACTCTTCTCGGCCTTATGTTACTTGTGAGTGGGGTATTGATGTTCTCCCTTCATACCCCCAGAGCTGTTTTCACCCCGCAGTCCTGTTCCTTCACTCACCATTCTCCCCCCTCCTCCTCTTCCACTTCCCCCCTCCTCGCCCCTACTCTCGCCTCCTTTCCTTCTCAACTGCCCCCCTGCGTGTTGAGACAGCTCAACGGCCACACAGAGTATGCATGCACGCTCCATTGCACGCCCATGCCCACTTGCACATCGATCAGGCAGCCCACCCACCCACCCACACGCACGCATCGCTTTCATCTGCACAGCCGTCTGTGTTGCCTCTCGTTCTCCCCCGTTTCCGACCTCTCCGTCCTTGTTCACCATCATTCCCTGTCTAACATTCCCGCAACAACCATAATACCTTACACCCCTCAGCCTTCCTTCTCTCCGCTTGTTATCCCCAGCCACCATCCACTACCCCATCCACTACCCCATCCTCTTCCCCATGCTGCTCGCCCTTTTAACCTCCCATCACCTCGTCCTTGCACACGCTCACTAAACCATCCCTCACCCACACGCGCATCAACTCTCCCTCCTTCCTCCCTCCGTCCCTCACATCACACCTCTCCCCCTCCCCCCTGCTGCTGGCTCTCTCGTCTGCTTCTTCCCAATGCTTCCGCTCCCGCTTCCGCTCTTGCTCCTGCTGCACATCGCATGCTCTCGTCTCTCCACGTTTTGCCTGGACTCTGTCTTGCCTCCACTCTTCACTTGTAACGCCTCCCACAGCCTGCGTCACAGCAAGCAAGCAGGCAGCGCAGCGCTGACCGCATTGGCGGTAGTGACATGGCACTCACAGCCGCTGTACATTCTGGGCAACCACCGGAAGGCTGCCACGTGCCTGCACACGTTCCGATACCAGGTCACGTTCGCAGGCCCAGGCGGATTAGGTTGCGGTGGGTGCTGCTGCTGCTCCTGTTGCTGCTGTCACAATCGTGTATATTGTTGATTGAATTCATTCTTCCTACCGCGGTCTCCCTGTCTTGTGTGTGCACTTTATCGGTGCATGTTCCGTTACTTGCACCAAGCTCCAAGTGCTGCCACTGCCTAACTAACCACAGCTACAACGGGACCCTCTCTCTTGTCCTCCCAACCTCGCTTTCAAGGATGGGGATGGCCATGTGTGCCATGTGTGCCATGTGTGCCATGTGTGCCATGTGTGCCATGTGTGCTATGTGTGTCATGCTGATACTACCGAGTGGTGCGGCGCAAGGGCGTGCATGTGGCGCCCACAGCAAGCAGCACCGCATCCCACTCCCCTCGCCCAACTCCTTCCCTATCCCCATCCTGCAACCACCCCCCTCCCATGTGCATGTATGCCAGGCGGAGGACTGCCTAGTGGCACAGCGCAAGGGCGTGCATGTGACAGGAGAGTGAAGGGAGGCAAGTGCGTGTGGCTAGGACAGCAGGGCAGCAGCGGTACAGCAAGAGCTGGCCTGGTCATCAAGCGGCAACCCCCACCCACCCGTCCTCTCCCTCGTCTCCCATTCTCCTTACCCCCCAGATGCTCATAGCGGTGTTGGAGGAGATGGTAGCGCGCAATGTGCTGGCTAATGTTTATGTGTCCACTCAAACAATGCCCTTTCTCCCCACTTCGCCCCTCCTCTTCTCTCAGATGCTAATAGCGGTGTTGGAGGAGATGGTAGCGCGCAACGTGCTGGCCAATGCCATTGCCGTGCTGCCAGTCAAGTCGCTCAGCCGCTTCCTGCAGTTCTGCCGAAAGTAAACCCCCCCTGCTTGCATGCTCTTGCAGTGCTGCTTTACCTTTGCTTGTCGTGTGCATTGCAGTTCTCCCTCTGCCATTGCATCCCACCTGCCTCCACGCATTCTCCTACCCTGCTGTCATCACACCACCACCCTGCAGTAACCCTCGAGCCCCCTGTCACAGTCACACCGCCCCACCCTGCCTCTCCCATCCCTACCCTCACACACCCTGCTTGGCGTATCTTTCCTCCCTAAACCCATCCTCATCATCCCAACCCCTCTCTCTCCATCACTAGGATCACCTCTATTCTCTTCCCGCCTGCACCCAAACTGCAGTAGGGGGTACATGCACTGTTTCTAAGTAAGCTTTTCTTTCAACCTCTTTTTCTCTTACACAGTGTGCTGGTGCAGTTACCTGTTGTGCAACTGCCTTTTTTTTCTCTCTCTCTCTCTCTTTTTTTTTTTTTTTTTTTTCCGTCTCCTCCACACTCGTGCCAATCTCCCTCCAACTCTGCACTACCCTCATGCTACCCTCCATTCACCCACTTTCCTTCTCTCTTCTCTGGCTTCACACTTTGACTCCCCTCCCCACCCCCAAATCTATCACCCCTCCCCCCCCCCACCAACAACCCCCCACCACTTCTCCCCCTGCCAGTTCCACATGGTGGTGAGGTGGTGGAGGCGGAAGCTCTTCTTTGCACGTGTCTTCCTTTACTCCATACCAACACCTTCCCACCCCCCCCTTGCCTCAGTTCCACATGCTGGCGCAGGTGGTGGGGGCGGAGGTGGTGTTTGTTGTTCATTCCTCCTGTCCCCCACTATGCCTCCCCCCCCCCCAGTTCCACATGCTGGCGCAGGTGGTGGGGGCGGAGGCGCATGCGCTGGCAGAGCTGGCGGAGCTGCAGGGCTTTGTGCTGCCGCTGCTGCGCGCCTCCACTGCTGCCACCGCCACCGCCGCCTACACAGACGCAGAGGCAGAGCCCTCCGCCGCTGCTGCCGCCCTTCAGAGCGGCGCCACCGAGGATGACTTGACTGGACTTGACGTGCCGTGCCGAGGATGTGTGCATTAGCTTCGGCAGCAGGCTGGGTTAGAAATGGAGGTTGTTGGTGTTGGGCTGAAAGAAAAAACCAAACAATCAATGATGCTAAAAAATGTTACAGCTCATTCTTCATGCTATCAACGGCGCAAATGTATCCCAAGTTCAGATACACAAGATGGCAAGTCAACGAGCCAGGACCTCATTCGTCTTGATGCACTGCAGCACCTTCATTGAAATCTACAATGCATATAGAGCAGGAAATAGTTACAGCTGTCACAATAATATTTGATATAACGATACAGCTGCATTGAGACATGGTACCAGACATGGGGCATTGGACATCAGATAGGACCTTCTGTGACAATCATCTCGGGGAAGCTATCCCTGATCAAGGCTTCTACGTTCTCAAACGTAGTTGCAATCACCTGCAGGCTCTTGAGCCCCTTGAGCCATTTGAGACCGTCAACAGTGATTTTTGCATCCCACAGCCCCAACCTCTCCAGGCGCTTCATGCTCCTCAGAAGCTTCAAAATGACATCGGTCACCCCTGAAGGCAAGCTGAAGACCTTGAGGGAGGTCAGAGCAGTCAACAGCTTCAGCCCGTCCTCCCCCACTGCAGTGGTACTCAGCCAGAGAGCCTCGAGTGACGTCAATTTTCCCACGTGCACCATGCTCGCAGAGGTGACCGACTCGCAGCCATCTAAGGCCAGTGTCACGAGTGCAGGCAGCCCTCGCAGCTTCGCTATCCCTGCATCGGTTATCTTGGTATCACCAAGATAAAGTGCGTTAAGAACCTTCAAGCTACTGATACCTTCCAACGAAGCGTCCGTAGCATTTGTCTCCGCCAGATCGAGCAACTTGAGGCTCGTGAGGGAGTAGAGCTGCGTCAACCCCTCTGCAGTGAAGCTAATGGACTCTCGAAGGCTGAGCCACGTGAGAGAGCGCAAGGAGGTGAGTCGAGAGAGAGCAGCGTCGGTGAGGTTCACACAGCTGCTGAGGTCCATGCGCGTCTCGCTGGGAGTGGCCTTGCTCCACAGCGTCAGCAGTGCCTGCAGCCACGGGTGAGCAACGAGGTCAAATAAATAGGTTGAGGCGTGTGAGAAAGATTGGTATTAGCATCTTCCATTAGCCATCCGTGCCCCAGCAGTATTAGAAAGAAAGGACCCACATAAACCGATCAAGCACTCACCTCCCATGTCTTGGCATCCTTCTCCAGTGCCACCACGCGGTTACACAGCTCCTGCAGCTCAGCCTCCGCGTCGAAATCTTCCTCGCCATTCGCCCCCCACTCCTCCTCGCTCTCGCTTTCCGCCTCATCCAGCTTTCCTTCAGCCGCACTACCTCCAACAGCAAGCTTATGCTCGGTGCCCACAGCAGCACCAGCCATCTCCCCCTCCTTCCCCGGCGACTCCTCTGGCTTCCGCTTCTTCCTCGCGCCGCCCTCATCGCGCTCGTCGCGGCGCTCCCCCGTCTTGCTGTTCGTGAGCGCGGCGAGCGCCAGCTCGGCGTCGTTGATGCGCGCCTCCGAGTGCGCCGCCGTCGCCTTCACTTCCGCCACCTCCGCCGCCATCGCGAAAAAGGACTTGCCAGTAGGCTGCTGAAAAGTTGCAGAAAAGTAACTCGGCGGATACTTTGGTTTTGCAACTTCGCAGTGATGGACAACAGTTGCAGAAATGCGAGTGACTGCAGAGTTGACAAAAAGTTGCAAAAAAGTTGCAACCCTGCAACTGTTTCGCAACTCCCTCGACACAATACTGCAAACATGCGGACACATTTGCGCCACCTTCCGCAAGCATTGCAAACGCAAACAACATGCCGCGCACCTGCAGCCTGTTTGCAGAAACATCACTCCTCGCAAAGCGCGTACCCGGTTACAATGTGGCGCCACCGTGGCACAATGAAACGGTGGCACAGCATGCCCGGTACGGTTGCCTGCCGAAACGTACACCACTCGTGCGCGCGCAAGTGTTGAATACAGACTGGCCCACCCCCTAGTAACCCCACTTCGCCCACCAATGCAGTTGCATCGCGGAAGCCCTCGTGGACCAATCGCGCGACGCCCCAGACCCAGCAACGGCCTATCGCATACCGCCACTGAACACCACCGCATGCGCGATGGGAGCCACTGGAACGGAGGTGCATGCCCGAGCCCTGTGTGCCTGCCCAATAACGCAATTGCCACACCGTAACCCTATCACCTCCACTGTCCCTATGATTGGCTCCAAACACCGTCGCCCGTGAATTTCGCGTCATCGGGGGCCCCCCCTCTTCCGCACACTTTCCGCGCCCTGCCCAACCTGCGCCCACTACGAACATTACCGGAATTTGCCACAGCGTTACCACCCCTACGTACACACAATCTGGATCGTAGCACACCCGTGCACCCTCTTCATCCTACGTCCACACGGGCAATAACCTGGGGCACACGGCGTGAATACCAGCCGTCGATCTCACCGGAGCGCTCTTTACGCCCACCATTGGATGGCGCACTGTAATGCATCCCGCTTGCGCGAAATGTATGCGTTACTGCATTCGTTTTCCCGTTTTGTGGTAGCCATTACTAGGAACAGTTCAAAAATTATGCACTAACACAACACATACCACACCATATCCAAACACCACAACGTGCCATCCTACAATTACAAACCCATTAATAGCCACACCAACACTACTGAGCAAGCCCAGAGCCACGTCACTTGACGTAAAACCATTAGTTATTGCCCGCCTGCAACGATAACTTTCAAACCCTGTGTGCCTAAACCTCCCACTTCTTGGGCAGCTAATCCTCTTCCTCCGCCACAAGTCGGATGCGATTGCAACGCCCTCTCACGACAGCCCCTGCCTCAGCCCGCTTACAGGGAAACTGATGCTCTATCATCAGCCACTGGAGCCCTATGCGCATACCGGCCGGGAACCAGGTGCTCAAGCCCATCCGACGACAGCATCAACCCATGTTCCCCCCACACCCACGCCGCCTCGTCTGCATCGTACGTTGGCTTGAAATCCTGGATCGCTTGAGCCACTGCCGCAGCGGCTACCTCCTGCAGCCCGTTCACCACCTGCGCGTTGCCGCCTGCTGAATTTGACAGACGCCCCTTGCGCTTGTCCCAGTTCAGGATGGTGTCCGTCACCTGCGTGGACCAACAAGCATCTCGGGCACTCGCATGAGCATGTTCACAATCCCTGAAGTTGCAACTATAAGTGATGCAACTTACCACGTGCTCGAGCCACGCCAACTGGTACAGCTTCACATTCACTGTCCCTGTGACCTTCTTTGGCCGGAATGCGGTGGCGGCGCACGCAGTGAATGCCCCACTAGCAAAAATCATCCCGGTCTTGCTCTCGCTCCAGGTTGACAGTGTTAGATCCTCTGCACACACCATCCGCCAACGCAACATCAGAACAGCAAAACTCCCGCCGAAGGGATGGCTCCCCGGAGTCCCGACCTCATCGTACCGTTGACGTCGTCCAGAACGCGATAGCGAATCCGCACCTCCGCGGCCTCCCTGGCCTCCTTGCGTCTCCACGGACTCTTCGCATCCCGCTCGTCGCGCCACAGTCCAATGCGCGGCAGCGCAATGTCTCGTACACGGCCTGCAACCTCCGTCTTCCACTGGCTCAGACTCTTGTTCAAGTCATCGCGTCGCCCTTTGTCTGCCGCCAACGCGACAGCAGCAAACTTCAGCGTCAGCCGTGGCGTGACCCAGCATAACCCCAGTGTCTTGTCGTAGCTGCTGGGGTAGAATGTCATAGCATCATTTCCCCGCTCGATAAACAGGTACTCCCGCACAAAGTCGCAGTGCTTCTGCCAGAGCAACCGCATGAGACAATGGACCCTTACAAACACCATTAGATACAAACGGGGACTCCCCCAAACGACATACGCTAGACACGCAGGTATATAGACAGGACCGCACTTCGCAAACCTCACCTTCCACGCCTTGCCCGCCGGCTTGAAGTCAAATGCCTCCTGGAGTATGGGAGAGCTCGCCTCTATCATATGGCGCCTCTTGCGCACACGGCGGACCGGCGCGTGCTCCGCTTCCGCCTCCACATCATCCCCCTCCGCGGATGAAGCGTCCTCGGAGCCTGAATCGACCCGCCGGCGCTTGCTCGCCCTCTCTTCACCGCGCGCCCGCTCCTCCCTCTGACATCTCTGCCTCTTGTTATGCGTCCTGGGATCCTGTGCGGACAGCAGCAACGCCTCCAGGCGCGCAATCCGCCGTTCGCCGTCGTCTCTGGCCGCCTTCAGGGCCTCGAGCTCGGCGCGGCTAATGACGACGTTGTCGTTAGTTGACGTCTCCTCACGCCGAGAACCACTTGCCGGCTGCCCTGACACGCTCGGCATCGCCACGAAAGGGTTGTCCGGCACCGAAGGCCTCGGCGCCTTCGCCGCCGTGTCGTGCGCGGCCGGGTTCTCGTCCGCCATAACCGACGCGACCGCTTTGGAGCGGACAGGAACATCCTCGCCTCCCCCGTCGCTGCCGACATCCTCATCTCCTGCGCCGACGCTTGACAAAACCGCCGCCTGCGGCGTCACTTGCGATGCTCCCTGTGCCGCACTAGCCACCCCTGATCGCGGGTGTAACAACGCATACAGCCGCCATGGTTACGACGTCAGCATATCGCATAACAATGACATAACAATGACATACTCGTGTAGTGAGCAACAGTACCCACACAGTCCCCCCCAGTCCTTGCAAAACCCATACAAAAATTTTACCTGCGACTGGGACACACTTCTGCTTCGTAATCCTCGGACGCTTGAAATGCCCCGCATTCCCGCGCACACATTTCGGCTCACGAGAACGTTTACCAGGCAGGTGATACTCGTTGCGGAGATACGCTGGTGTGCGCTTAGGCCGCTGTGAGCGGCCTGCTGGCAGTTCTTCCGACGTTCCCAAGGAAGTTTCCATTCCTGAGATGCAAACCGGACCTCCTACGGGATCCGAACACAATTTGACAGAAGTATGCGCATTCCTACAAGAGCCACTTCTAACGCCCTATGTCAGGTCCCGCAATCACGCTAGCCAGTCCCGTTAGTTGCTCCGGATTGCAAGTGACCCCCGGGCCATGTGTGAGCATGTCATTGGATCTCGCGATATCCCTCCACCCTTGGTAGACAAACCCAACAGCCTATCACACGGTTGTGTAGCATCCCGCGTATGCTCGTGGTGTTCGTTATATGCAACAGCCGAACCCAACTAACGTATACAGTGACTTATTTCATTGCACTACACAATTACAACTTATTTCACTGCTAACGACGACACGAATGCACCACAGAATCAGCCCTCTGTCACCCCTTCAGGGTCAACATCAAACATTGCCTCCTCAAAGGCATCCCCCAGCGACACGCCTGTATGTATACCCTGTTCTGCCACTCCGTCCAGTGTATCCGCCTCCTCCTCATTGAGCTCATTCGGCGTTCCCCTCCCAACCTGCGCCTCAGGAACACCCTTCTTCACCCCGCCCATCTCAATCTTCGTATCCACCTCCTTGGCGGCGCCTCCATGCGCATCCGCCGCCTGATCATCCTGTGAATCGGAGTGCGTTTCCCCCTCCCCGCCTGAGTCCTCCTCCGGACAGTCCGCCAGTGCCGTCTCCCACTCTGTCCATCGAAACCACTGTCTGCCCCTTACCAGCCTCTTGACTGCGGACAATGTGCACCCCTTCAGCAGCCCCCTCTCCTCATCCGACAGCTCCACTGTCCCTGACACACGTCGCCCCTCCTTGACCACGTGCACAGCTGCTGCATACGCAGTGGCTGCCTCCAATTCCTTGTTGTACGCACCCAGCCTCATCTGGGTGCGCTTGGGCTTATCCTTCTCCCAGAACAGTATCTTAGCGCTCCACCTCCCCCGTTTCTCTTTCCGCACACCCTTCCATTTGGAGCTCCGACCCTGTCCATTACCCTTGCTTTTGCTAGCGGGGATGGCGCCCTCAGCATCACTCCCGGGCGAAGGAGTGTCGTCTCGTTTCCTCTTTGCCGGCATAGCCAATACCACGGGCTTCGTCCCACCTGGTTGAACGACCGTATGCGCTGCCTCATGCGTGAAGGGCACACACACCGGGGCTGCCTTCTGCGACCACAACGGCTTCGCCGGCACGGGCAGCGGGGACGGGCAGGGATGTACCACCCCTAGATCGACATTTGTGGTGCCAGCACCACCCTGGCCAACACTCACAGGAGGGTCTCCTTTGGAACCGGGGCTGTCGGGGGCTCCTGCCCGCGCGCCTGCACGTGGGTTGGGCGTGGACGGTGCAGTGGACCCACTGCACCCAGGTGTCGCCGCTTCCCCATCAGAAGCCTGCTGCTGCAGGACGTGGGCAGCTCCAGCAATGAGCTGATCGACACTGTACCCCATGGCCGCTCCAACAGCTGTGACAGCTGCCTTCCAGATCGTCAAGTCCCGCTTCATACTGTAGTGCTCCACCTGCATCCGTGTTAGCTGCGTGTTGCCATCCTCCGCACCTGAATCGACTACCGCCCCATGCTTCGCGACCCTGGGGGCGGGTTGCCTCGGGACCACCACTCCCAGCCTCGCCAGCGACGATATAAGGTCTTCCGCCGCATGCATGCATAGGTCCACCCGCATGTCCCGCCGCATCTCCAACGCACTGACGCCCCCCAAGTACAGGTAAGATCATAGTGTCTTGAAGTCAGTGTCCATGTGCCGCGTATCACCTGCTTGATATCAAAACTGGTGCAGCTACATAGTATGCTCCCCAGCACAGCAATTTTTGCAGCATAGCTTTCTTTATAACGTAATCAATAAAGTTCCTCTCTCTGTTCGTGGCTGCAGGTTCTGATGATGTTGTGGAGAGAAGCGGTTCCCAGCGGGACTCGCGTGGAGCTCCATGGCGTTCCATGCCTCACTGATGCTGCTCTCACAGAACTCGCCAGCTTCCACTCTCTAACCTCACTGAACCTCCAACAGAGCGATGGCTTCACTGCAGTGGGGCAAGAAGAGGGAGAATATGGGAAAAAGCACTTAAACAAATGGGCGAATGAGAGGAAACTTTATATCCGTGAATTTTATAAATTACATAATCCATCTTATAATTTTTAAACACTCGGGGTTTGCAAAGCACATAAACTGATTGAATCAGTGTAATACAGCTCATCATTCTAAAACATCAGGGCGGGGAGGCAAGCTGGAGTACTTACCCTAATAACATCAACCAGGGAGAGGTCCTGGTGTGACGATCATTTCAGGTAGTATGTCCCTGATCCATTCTTGAACATCTTTAGCATGTGTTGCAATTTTTTGGAGGCACTTCAGCCCGATGAGCCATTTCACACCACCGGGAGTGATTTCAGCATTCCAGAGCCCCAGCGTCTCCAAGTGTTTCATGTTCCGCAGCAGCATCATGCCGGAATCAGTCACTCCTGGAGGCACAGTGAGAAGCTTCAGCGCAGTGAGAGCAGTCAAGCGCTCCAGCCCGTCCTCCCTCACGTCAGTGCCATGCAGTGTGAGACGTTCCAGCGATGTCAACTTGCCCACATGCGCCATGCTGGCAGACGTGACCTTCAAACCGCCTAGGAACAGAGTCGTGAGCGCAGATAACCCCTGCAGCTTCATGATTCCTGCGTCGGTTATCTTGGTCCGGTCAAGAATAAGGTCTTGAAGCTTCTCCAGCCTGGCAACGCCTTCAAGCGCTGTGTCTGTTGTGGCTGTACCCCGTAGATTCAGATGTGTGAGGCCCGTGAGCGAGGAGAGCCCTCGCACCCCCGCTTCAGTGAAGCCGACGGAGTCTCGCAGGTTGAGCGAGGTTAGAGCGGAAAAGGTGGCGACTTGTGTGAGAGCAGCGTCGGTGAGGAGGGAGATGCCGCTGAGGTCCATACTAGTCTCGCCTGGTGCCACTTTGCTCCACAGTCGTAGCAGTGCCTGCAGCCACGGAGGGCAGGAAGGAGAGCAGGAAGGAGGGCAGGAAGGAGAGCAGGAAGGAGAGCAGGAAGGAGGGCAGGAAGAAGGGCAGGAAGGAGAGCAGGAAGGAGGGCAGGAAGGAGGGCAGGAAGGAGGGCAGGAAGGAGAGAAGGAAAGAGAGAAGGAAGGAGGGCAGGAAGGAGAGAAGGAAGGAGAGAAGGAAGGAGGGCAGGAAGGAGAGAAGGAAGGAGAGAAGGAAGGAGGGCAGGAAGGAGAGAAGGAAGGAGAGAAGGAAGGAGAGAAGGAAGGAGAGAAGGAAGGAGAGAAGGAATGAGAGAAGGAAGGAGGGCAGTAAGGTCAAATGTGCAGGGAGATGGCAGGAGCAGGAAGGAGGGCAGGACGGAGAGCTAAGGGTGCATACGTGAGGTTCTTTGCAACACGGAACAGAAACGAGAAAACGAGAAAAACCCGACCGTCCAGACCATCCGCTCACTCACTCACCTCCCATGTCTTTCCTCCCCCAGCGCACGCTGCATCCCTCTGCGCCTCGCCCTCCCTTTCGACGTCATCCCGCTTTTCTAGAAGCGCGCCACCTTCACCCCTCTTCCGCCTCTTCGCATCCCGTCTCTCCGCCCCCATTTGCTCCCACGAGCTGCGCCAGTCCTTCAGCGCTGCGACTTCCGCTTCCAGGTCGTTGATGCGCCCCTCTGTGTACTCCTCATGCCGCTTCGCCGCTCCCCTCAGCCGCGCAACTTCCGCCTTCAGCGCCCCCATCTCCCCGCCGGGCATCTCACCCGACGCCTCCTGCACCTCCCACCTCGCCGCTTCCACCTGCGCCACTTGCTCCGGCGCTTCCTCCGCTTCCTCCGCTTCCTCCGCTCCATCCGCTCCCTCCGCTTCAAACGCAGGGAAAAGGTTTTCCTCCGCGCATGTCAGCGGCTGTGCGCCAATGCCCTCCGCTGCCTCTCCCAATGCACTCCCTTTTCCCGCTCCTGCCCCCTCACCCTGCTCCCCCAGAGCGCCCGTCGCCGCCATACCCATGAGGTGGGCCATGGCTTGGCGCATTGCGCCCATGTCGCGCTGCATGGCAGCCATGGCGTCGCCCTGCTCCCTCAGCTGCGCCTCCAACGCCGCCATACGATCCCCCACGCCGCCCGCCATCTCCGCCAGCCGCTCCTCCATGTCCCGCGCTGCTGTTGGCGTCGCCATTTCGCTCTCATGGCCGTGACGCTCGTCACGGTCGAATGCTGTATGGCTGTACGTTGCAATGCATGTGTTTCTGCGGCAAGTCTGAACTGCGGCGGGAGTACGAACAAGCTACTAGTTCCCGAAAAACGCGAAGCTGAGCAAGCCTCTGTGGCGGAACCAAACCAAACCTGCCCAGCTGGAGTGGATCTTGAAAGTCAACAGTCCGATTCAGTGTTCAACGACTGGGGCAGATCGGATCGGACGTGCGAAGCTCGTTCTCAAGGCCGTGACGCTCGCGGAGGTCCAAATGGAGCCGTGAATCCGGGAAGCTCGCGCAAAGCACTGCTGTGAGGCTGGGTGCCGAAAAGCATGCAGGTTTAGTAGGCACAGCGCACTGCTAAATGTAGTAGGAATGGAACTCGGGGGCAGATTGGACAAAGGCAGGTGACATTCGAAGGTTGCCCCGGTGGCTGTGCGGCTAACGCATTAGTGCACTCTCCGTTTGGAAGAGTATAAACGGGAACAATTGAGAGCAACGGAGTATATTATATATATTATCTATGCATGTACTTGCCCCTGGGTGGTCAGTTGAACTTCACGTTTGCCTCAACGTCTGCACGCATTCCTTCTCCTGCCTCACCTCGGTCACGCTCGTCACTTTCACGCGCGACTTCATTGCGCGCGCCACGCCGCGGCTCAGTCCTTTTCCGGCGACTCGCTCGCAAAGCCCTTCACGAGGAGAAAACTTGCGAACTTAGTGCCCTTGGACGGTCCGTCAACCGGTAAAATAGTTACAGCCCTAAGGCAGCCGGAAATTTTCTTTACACTATTCAATTGACCTTACTCGTCTCAGCTAAGCCCTGGCCAAGGCTACATCAAGAGTCGGTTTCCGCCGTGCGCCCATCCTGCTTACACATCGCCCAGCTTGCTCACCTACCTTCTCTTGCCTACCTCATCCTTCCCTTTCCACCTTTGCCTACCTCGGCCGTGTTCCTCAATTCCCGGCGCGTCTCACTGTGCGCGCCATGCCGCTGCTCAGCCCTTGTCCGGTGACTCGATTCGCTCGAAATCTCACGAGACCTCCGTTATAGAGGCGTCGACCAATGGGCGACCAGCAGGTGGTGGACGATTTTCTAGTCACGCCCAAGCGCCATGCGCCGGCGGCGCCCGGGGAGACGGCGGAAGCGGGGATTTGCGCAGCTTCCGGCGGAAAGCGGCGGAGCCGCTGATCGGCAACGTGACGACCATCGACTTCTGCCCCTCCGCGCCCTTCCACTTCGCCGCCATCAACTCCACCCGCGTGCGCTTCTCATCCCCTCCCACCCCCTCCCCGCTCTCCGTTCCCCGCCCTTCCACTTCGCTCCACCCACGTGTGACCTGTTTTTTTCTCGGTCTCGACCTGTGTGTGCGCGTTGGTAACACGTGCAACGAGTCGCACCCCCCGTGTGCGTGTGGCGCCACGAACCCCATGGCAGGTGACGGTGTACAGTGGCGTCACCAGGGAGCCACTCAAAACCTTCTCTCGATTTAAAGGACTTGTGAGGCCCTCCTTTTCCCCTCCTTTGCCCCTCCTTTTCCCCTCCTATTCCCCTCCTTTTCCCCTCCTTTTCCCCTCCTTTTCCCCTCCTTTTCCCCTCCTTTTCCCCTCCTTTTTCCCTCCCTTTCCCCTCCCTTTCCCCTCCGTTTCCCCTCCCTTTCCCCTCCTTTTCCCCTCCTTTTCCCCTCCCTTTCCCCTCCTTTTCCCCTCCTTTTCCCCTCCCTTTCCCCTCCCTTTCCCCTCCCTTTCCCCTCCCTTTCCCCTCCCTTTCCCCTCCCTTTCCCCTCCCTTTCCCCTCCCTTTCTCCTCCCTTTCCCCTCCCTTTCCCCTCCCTTTCCCCTCCCTTTCCCCTCCCTTTCCCCTCCCTTTCCCCTCCCTTTCCCCTCCCTTTCCCCTCCCTTTCCCCTCCAGAATCTCATCTGTGTCTGGCCTGTCCGCCGCCTTTCACCCCTCCCCACCGCTCAGATATCCAAAGCTCATTCTTGCTTCTCACCTACTCGCACAGCTCCTCCGTTTGTAATCACACCCCTCCATCGCACTGCCACTCCTGATCCTTTTCTCCCGCCCGCCCTCCTCCCCTCCTCCCTTCCTCCCGTCTTCTCCCCTCCCGTCCCTTCCCTCCGGTCCCCTCCTCTCCGTTCCCCTCCCCTCCCCTCTCCTCTACTTCGGCGCGCCTCTCCCGTCCGGTTTTGCCCTTGCCCTTCCCACCTGCTACAATATCAAGCTGCTGGCGGATGGCAAGCTATGCTGGTGAGGGGAGACACAGGCCAGGTGGTTTTCCGCACCTGTTGCTGTTCCCCGGTCCCTGGCCTTTACTGTTCCGTCCCCTCCCTGCCTCATGTGCCTTATGCATGCACGATACCTCCCCCACTTTGCTGTTTCCCCACTCTTCTCGACCATATGCTAATTGTGAATGGGGGGTATTGAGGCTCTCCCTTCATACCCCCCAGCACTGTTTTCACCCCGCTGTCCTGCTCCTTCACCCACCATCCCCCCCCCCCCCCCCCCCCCCCTCCCAACTCTCCCCTCCACTCCTTCCCAACTGTCCCCCTGCATGTGAGCGTATACAGGTGTTTTACGCCACGGCCCGCACAGTGCTGAGACAACTCACAGAGTGCGCATGCACGCCCATGCTCACTTGCACAATCACCAACCGGGCCACCCACCCATTGACACGCACACATCGCTTCCAACTGCCCAGCCCTCCCTCCGTGTGGCCTCTCGTTCTCTCCCATTTCTGACGGCTTGTCCCTGTCGCCCTCTTTCCCTGTCTTCCATCCTTGCAACAGCCATGATTCTTTCCACCCCTCAGCGTTCCTTTTTCGACAGTGCGCTGCGCAGGTGAGACGTCGGCTTCTTCCAGGTCCATCCATGCTTCTGCTCTCCGTTCTGCTGCTGCTATCTCTCTCTCTTCTGCTCCTGCTCCCGCTCCTGCTGCACATCGCATGCTCTCGTCTCTCTGTGTCTTGCCTCCACTCTCCACTTGTAACGCCTCCCACATTGAGACCGCCCCTCGTCGCTCTCCTCGTAACGTGCAGCTGTTTATTCCCACCATCTACCATAACTTCTCATCATTCCTACACCACCTGCCACACCACTCATTGCTCTTCCCACAAGCCACACACCATCTTCTCTTCTTACTCGCCTTCTCTCTCCCCTTCATCCTTCACCTTCATCCTCTCTCTCCCCTTCATCCTTCACCTTCATCCTCTCTCTCCCCTTCATCCTTCAGGTGGCAATATGGGACATTCTAATGGGCGGGGCAACAACTTGTTTTACAGCGGCACAAAGCACCACCACATTCACCACATGTTCTCCCACATGCACCAAGCGTCACCATCTGCTGCCACCAGCATCGCTGCCACTGCTACTCCCGAACATTCTCTCATGTCCTCCCATCTACGCTCTCCTGTTCTCCAGCTACTTCCCCATCACCACACATAGGGATGCGGGCCAGGCTGAGACTATTGCGTGGTGCAGCGCAAGGGCGTGCATATGGCACCCACAGCAAGCAGCACCGCACCCCTCTCCCCTCGCCCAGCTCCTTCCCAATTCCCATCCATCCCTGCAACCACCCCCCTCCCATGTATGCCGCACCCCTCCCCCCTCGCCCAGCTCCCTGCTTGCATCGCACCTCCCTGCGGAGGGAGCACCATGTGCCGCGTATCACCTGCTTGATATCAAAACTGGTGCAGCTACATAGTATGCTCCCCAGCACAGCAATTTTTGCAGCATAGCTTTCTTTATAACGTAATCAATAAAGTTCCTCTCTCTGTTCGTGGCTGCAGGTTCTGATGATGTTGTGGAGAGAAGCGGTTCCCAGCGGGACTCGCGTGGAGCTCCATGGCGTTCCATGCCTCACTGATGCTGCTCTCACAGAACTCGCCAGCTTCCACTCTCTAACCTCACTGAACCTCCAACAGAGCGATGGCTTCACTGCAGTGGGGCAAGAAGAGGGAGAATATGGGAAAAAGCACTTAAACAAATGGGCGAATGAGAGGAAACTTTATATCCGTGAATTTTATAAATTACATAATCCATCTTATAATTTTTAAACACTCGGGGTTTGCAAAGCACATAAACTGATTGAATCAGTGTAATACAGCTCATCATTCTAAAACATCAGGGCGGGGAGGCAAGCTGGAGTACTTACCCTAATAACATCAACCAGGGAGAGGTCCTGGTGTGACGATCATTTCAGGTAGTATGTCCCTGATCCATTCTTGAACATCTTTAGCATGTGTTGCAATTTTTTGGAGGCACTTCAGCCCGATGAGCCATTTCACACCACCGGGAGTGATTTCAGCATTCCAGAGCCCCAGCGTCTCCAAGTGTTTCATGTTCCGCAGCAGCATCATGCCGGAATCAGTCACTCCTGGAGGCACAGTGAGAAGCTTCAGCGCAGTGAGAGCAGTCAAGCGCTCCAGCCCGTCCTCCCTCACGTCAGTGCCATGCAGTGTGAGACGTTCCAGCGATGTCAACTTGCCCACATGCGCCATGCTGGCAGACGTGACCTTCAAACCGCCTAGGAACAGAGTCGTGAGCGCAGATAACCCCTGCAGCTTCATGATTCCTGCGTCGGTTATCTTGGTCCGGTCAAGAATAAGGTCTTGAAGCTTCTCCAGCCTGGCAACGCCTTCAAGCGCTGTGTCTGTTGTGGCTGTACCCCGTAGATTCAGATGTGTGAGGCCCGTGAGCAAGGAGACCCCCGCTTCAGTGAAGCCGACGGAGTCTCGCAGGTTGAGCGAGGTTAGAGCGGAAAAGGTGGCGACTTGTGTGAGAGCAGCGTCGGTGAGGAGGGAGATGCCGCTGAGGTCCATACTAGTCTCGCCTGGTGCCACTTTGCTCCACAGTCGTAGCAGTGCCTGCAGCCACGGAGGGCAGGAAGGAGAGCAGGAAGGAGGGCAGGAAGGAGAGCAGGAAGGAGAGCAGGAAGGAGGGCAGGAAGAAGGGCAGGAAGGAGAGCAGGAAGGAGGGCAGGAAG